CTTTCCTTTCCTTTCCTTTCCTTTCCTTTCCTTTCCTTTCCTTTCCTTTCCTTTCCTTTCTTTCCTTTCCTTCACCATGTGATCTGTGCATTTGTATGATTGTGTGTACATACATAGATGAGTCTTGGTTCAAAGTGGATTGACATGCCCAAAATTCAAAAGGATGGTTTACACACACCTTGCAAAAAAATGACTGACCTCACAAGGAAATAACTAAATAAACAAGTGCCTCAGTAGTTGTGGACAGCATATATGTGTAGACTGAAGCCATCAGTTTYAGGGCAACCATGCCTATCTGCAAATGTTGGCCCTATTCATGCTTGATAAAAGGCAGAAATCTACTCTAAATGGAGTGTTTTAGCTCTAGTTTTGGTTAATCTCAGCAACTGTCAGTACATGAAACACCAGTTTAATACACTTGGATGTCAGAGATACTTCATATTTGGAAAAAAACAGACACCATTGCTGATAACTGATTGCAGCTTATGTTGACTCTGCATGTTGGAATGCAAAAACTAGGGAAGCGTCTAAAAGATATTTGCCAGAAATTTGCACTTAATCAATGTGCAGTAAGGCTTACACAGTGGACATTTCACACTTAAAAAGTAAAAGCTGCTGGGCTGATAYGTTTTCCTTTCCTCATCTGTTTTTCTGGCTGCTAAGACATTGGAAATAAGCTGATATAACTTCACACTGAATATGTATTCATACGAACTCGATATGTATGATCCAACAAGATAGTGTATCATTAAGTCTGGTACTGTATCTCATTAGAGCTGCATTATCAGCCACCATTGCAACTGTCTGGAAGGGGAAACAATAACCAAGTGCCACCTCTGTCTTTAGAGGTGAAGGCAGCACACTGGAGTTCACTGGCAGCCAGGGACAAGTTAAGAAGCACAGACAGAATGTCTGATTTTACRCTGCTCCTGGCAAAAGATGACTGGAGATCTAGAGCTGGCATCTATTGCAGCTCTAAATACCAACAAGATGCTCGTTGATTTCGCTGTGGGCACATGTCAGGTATCCAGTCCATCCTGCAGTGCCAACCTTTATGAGCAGTTTGCTAAATATCATCAAAAATAATGGGTCAAGCTCATCTGCTGTTTGTTGAAGAGGCTCACTGGCAGGCATGAGGGCTGCWCTTCATTCAGCCAGAAAGCAAGGACAGCTTCAGCACAGCTTGCTTAGTCATGAAACTGCCATCCAAACCAGAAGCTATTTGTGAGAGTGAATGACACAAGCAACTAGTTTTATGCTGGCTGAATGTCAGTGCCAACAAGGGGGACTGCTCTGATTGCAGCTGGGCTTTGTACAAGAGAAGGAACAGAAACACCAAGGAAGAACACAGAGAGAGAGAGAAGGAAACCGCAGGTGTCTTCAGAGGGGTCCTTGTAAATCTCTGTTGAGGAAAAGTTCAGAGAACTTCTTGGTAAAATTATTGTAAAAAGTCACTCTGGTCTACAGTGAATCCTCTCTCAGGGTATAACTTGTCAATTTAATCA